GATAGATAGATAGATAGATAGATAGATAGATTTATAGACAGATAGAAACATGATGATGGCTGTAAACTCGTGTAGATAGATAGATAGATAGATAGATAGATAGATAGATAGATAGATAGATAGATAGATAGATAGATAGATATAAACAGACTGAGGTAGGTAGATAGATATAAACAGAATGAGATAGATAATAACTGTTAAAGATAGATAATAACTATCAAATATATATATATATAGAGAGAGAGAGATAGATATGAATAGACTGAGATAGATAGATAGATAGATAGATAGATAGATAGATAGATAGATAGATAGATAGATAGATATAAAGAAACCAAAAATGAAACAAAATAACTGTCATATATATATGTAGATAGATAAATAGATTGATAGAGAGTAATAGTGAGATATAAACAGACTGAGATAGATAGATAGATAGATATGAACAGACTGAGATAGATAAATAGATAGATAGATAGATAGATAGATAGATAGATAGATAGATAGATAGATATGAACAGACTCAGATAGATAGATAGATAGATAGATAGATAGATAGATAGATATGAACAGACTGATATAGATAGACAGATAGAAACATGATGATGGGCTGCAAACTCGTGTTTGAGCATTGCCATTGCTTGAACACCCATGAAAAAAAGCTCATTGATGAGCTGCTCTCATGTGACTTTTTAGTCCAGCTAAAGACATGCATTCTTTGGCAAAGGTGTCACAGACATGAACATTTCTGGCAAAAGTTCCTGCAACATTGTTGCCATGTATTTTAACATTTTGTTTTAATCCTGCTGCACTTTTGCACACATTTCCACACACCTTACGTGAGGCAGATGACTGTAAGCCCAACAATGTCCTAACTACCCCAACAGCCAAGGTTCATTCGTTTACATTTTTTGGCAGTAGCAGAATGATTACTGGGACACCTGCTGGCCAGACCCTATCACAACTAGTCCCAGAGCCCTTAATGCTATTGATGCTAATATCATTGGAAGCCTCCATTGAACGGGTTTGCCTTTTTTGGTTATGGCCATCCTCTGTGTAAAGACAAAATAAGATCCTGAAATCTTCAAGCAATGCCTGTGCATGATTTTAAGTAAGGAAAGGCATTCAATTCCACTCTCTGAGTGACTGTGCCCTTGGCCCCAAAAGAAGAACCCAATCTATATGATCAGAGGCAGCAGACACCGTAGGTGTTATATCAGTTTTCCTTTTCCTAGATGTCTGAGGGGGAAAACTCTATTGGTGGCTTCATGGTGCCCTCAGACACCAACCTGAGTTTAGTTGCCGAGTGCCAGTTCAATCGGCAACTAAACCGGTTCCCCCACCAGATCTACCTGGTGAGGAGGGTAGCTAGAAACTCTGCAGGACAAAACGCAAGACCTGTCAAAGGGTGGATAAACCTCTTTGAGAGGTTGACAATCATCTAGCAATCTCTGCGCCAGGACATACATACATACATACATACATACATACATACATACATATACATATGTACGTACATACATAATGAAGAGATAGATAATGAATGGACAAGGATAGATAGATAATGAATGGACAAGGATAGATAGATAGATAGATAGATAGATAGAATGAGACCAAGATAGATAAATAGGTAGACAAATACAAGGAGAGTGCAATAAATAGATAAATGAAGAGATAGATAGATAGATAGATAGATAGATAGATAGATAGATAGATAGATAGATAGATAGATAGATATCAATTCATAGATAGGTAAGCTAGATATATAATTAATAGATATTGGGATAGTGAGATATACAGATAATTAATAGAAAAGGATAGATAGATATATAATGAAGATAGATAGATAGATAGATAGATAGATAGATAGATAGATAGATAATCAATATATTGGGATAGATAAATGGATGGATAGATAGATAGATAGATATCAATAAAGAGATAGATAGATAATGAATATATTGGGATAGATAGATAAATGAATAAAGGAAGATACATAGATAGATAGATATGGATAGAGATATACATAGATATATAGTTACACAGATAGATAATTTATAGACAAGAATAATGTGATAGATAAATGGACGGAGGAGGATATTCAGATAGAATCATAGAATGATAGATAATCTAGTTAGATTTTAATAGGCCAGATAGGTACATAGAGAGATAGATAGTAGTCTAGATATTAATCTGTGATAGATAGCAAAATAGATAGATAATTAAGGAATACACTGTGATAGATCAATAGATAGATAGATACGGTAATAAATATATAAAGACATGGCTAGTGAGATAAATACTGACATAGATAGATAGAGACAGAAATAAATAGCTAGAGAGATGGATATAGAGATAGATAGATAGATAGAGACAGAAATAAATAGATAGATAGATAGATAGATAGATAGATAGATAGATAGATAATGAAGTCTCTAGACTGAGATAGATAGATAGATAGATAAATAGATAGATAGATACAGACAGATGGACAGACAGACAGAGAGAGAGATGGATATAGAGATAAATAGATAATGAATTGACTGAGATAGATAGATAGATAGATAGATAGATAGATAGATATGGAAGTCTCTAGACTGAGATAGATAGATAGATAGATAGATAGATAGATAGATAGATAGATAGACAGACAGAGAGAGAGATGGATATAGAGATAAATAGATAATGAATAGACTGAGATAGATAGATAGATAGATAGATAGATAGATAGATAATGAAGTCTCTAGACTGAGATAGATAGATAGATAGATACAGACAGATAGACAGAGAGAGAGAGAGAGAGATAGAGATAAATAGATAAGGAATAGACTGAGATAGATAGATAGATAGATAGATAGATAATGAAGTCTCTAGACTGAGATAGATAGATAGATAGATAGATAGATAGATAGATAGATAGATAGATAATGAATAGACTGGGATAATGTGATAGATAAATGGATAGATTGGAATATATTGAGATAAATACCAAGAATGGTAGATAATCTAGTTAGATTAAAGTATGATAGATATATCCTCAGAGAGAGACAGATAGTCTAGATATTTATAGCTATAGATAGCTAGCCAGATACAGCGTGCGATGGGTAAATTGTCACCATTTTATATTTTTAATTTCGTGCAGGCCATGTGTTTGTTTTTCATTTTGTACACTGCACCGTATAGTAGGGTCAGTTGGGCACCATCTGTGAGAAAAAGAGCATCATAACACAATTCACTCTGCCAGAAATATGGAAACGGCATACTGTACTACTTGGCATTTTTGCTGGAAGCTCCAACACGAACATTTCAGAATGTTTGGGCGCCAATCTGAGGACAATGCCAAGGATTCAGAAGGAGATGGATGATTCCAAAGGTGATTATGAAGGTGTTTGGAGTGATGGCGATGTTATGCCTCCATTCATATTCCAACAGACTCTACATGGAAGCCTACATCAATTGCCTTGAGGAGGTAGTGCTGCCCTGGGTCAAGTGTCTGGCTGCTGGAAGATACTATGTCTGACAACAGGACTCTGCACAATGTCACACAAGCAGGAGAACCCTGTCGTGGCTGTCAGACTATTTCTGCAACCACATCATCTGATTATATCTGGTCACGTAACTCTCTAGATTGCAACCCCCTTGATTATTATGTGTGGGGCACAGTTGTGCGAGAGACCAACAAAACTCCTTGTAACACCAAAGATGAACTGAAGGCAAGAATTATGGCAGCATTCACCAACTTAAACAAAGAGACTGTCCAGAAGATTTACAGGAGATTCCAAATTCCAATCTGGAGGTCGTGGTTGAAGTCAATGATGATTTTATTGAATAAATATATATAATAATAAATAATAAATGTATAATTTATTGAATAAATATACTCTTTAGTATTTGAAGATATTTTTGTGCAATTTTGGTAAATATATCTATTAAAATGAGATGTCAGGGTTATTTTTATTTATGCATAATTTAGATGACAATTTATCGACACTGCATATATAAATACACTGAGACTTAGATAGATAGATAGATATGAACAGATTAACAAAGATAGCTACAAGAATTGATGTAGAGAAAGTTAAACAATAAATTAGAAAGAAGGAAAGAAAAAAAAAGAAAAATGAAAGGAAAAAGAATGAACAAACATAATAAGTTAGAAATAAAGAAGGAATAGAACACAACAAGAAAGAAAGAAAAGAAGAAAAGAAACACAATATAATGGAAATAAAGAAATTAAAAAGGGAATAAGATAACAAGAAACTAGAAAGAAAGAAAGAAAGAAAGAAAGAAAGAAAGAAAGAAAAGGAACACAATAAACTACAAAAAAAGAAAGAAAGAAAGAAAGAAAAGGAACACAATAAACTACAAAGAAAGAAAGAAAGAAAGAAAGAAAGAAAGAAAGAAAGAAAAGGAACACAAAAAACTACAAAGAAAGGAAGAAAGAAAGAAAGAAAAGGAACACAATAAAATAGAAAGAAAGAAAGAAAGAAAGAAAGAGAGAAAAGGAACACAATAAACTACAAAGAAAGAAAAAAAAGAAAGAAAGAAAGAAAAGGGACACAATAAACTACAAAGAAAGAAAGAAAGAAAGAAAGAACAGAACAGAACAGAAGAAAGGTCAGGACAAGAAAGAAAGAAAGAAAGAAAGAAAGAAAAGGAACACAATAAACTACAAAGAAAGAAAGAAAGAAAGAAAGAAAGAAAGAAAGAAAAGGAACACAATAAACTACAAAGAAAGAAAGAAAGAAAGAAAGAAAGAAAGAAAAGAACACAAAAAACTACAAAGAAAGAAAGAAAGAAAGAAAAGGAACACAATAAAATAGAAAGAAAGAAAGAAAGAAAGAGAGAAAAGGAACACAATAAACTACAAAGAAAGAAAAAAAAGAAAGAAAGAAAGAAAAGGAACACAATAAACTACAAAAGAAAGAAAAGAAAGAAAGAAAGAAAGAAAGAAAGAAAGAAAGAAAGAAAGAACAGAACAGAACAGAACAGAAGAAAGGTCAGGACAAGAAAAAGAAAGAAAGAAAGAAAGAAAGAAAGAAAGAAATTAAGAAAGAAAGAAAGAAAAGGAACACAATAAACTACAAAGAAAGGAAGAAAGAAAGAAAGAAAAGGAACACAATAAAATAGAAAGAAAGAAAGAAAGAGAGAAAAGGAACACAATAAACTACAAAGAAAGAAAAAAAATAAAGAAAGAAAGAAAAGGAACACAATAAACTACAAAGAAAGAAAGAAAGAAAGATAGAAAGAAAGAAAGAAATGGAACAGAATAAACTAGAAAGAAAGAAAGAAAAAAGAAAAGGAACACAATAAACTACAAAGAAAAAAAAGGAAGAAAGAAGGAAAAGCAACTCAATAAACTAAAAAGAAAAAAGAAAGGAATAAAGAAAGCAAGAAGAAAAAAGAACAGTAAACTACAAAGAAAAAAGAAAGAAAGAAAGAAGGAAGGAGAAGGGACACAATAAACTACGAAGAAAGAAAGAAAAAAGAAAGAAAGAAAGAAAGAGGAACACAATAAACGAGAAAGAAAGAAAGAAAGAAAAAAGAAAGAAGTAAAAGGAACACAATAAACTACAAAGAAAAGAAAGAAAGAAAGAAAGAAAGAAAGAAAGAAAAAAGCAACTCAATAAACTACGAAGAAAGAAAGAAAAAAGAAAGAAAGAAAGAAAGAGGAACACAATAAACTAGAAAAAAAGAAAGAAAGAAAAAAGAAAGTAAAAAGAACACAATAAACTACAAAGAAAAAAGAAAGAAAGAAAGAAAGAAGGAAAAGCAACTCAATAAACTACAAAGAAAAAGAAAGAAAGAAAGAAAGAAGGAAATGGAACACAATAAAATACAAAGAAAAAAAAGAAAGAAAAAAGGAAAAGAGACACAATAAACTACAAAGAAAGAAAGAGGGACACAATAAACTAGAAAGAAAGAAAGAAATAAAGAAGGAAAAGCAACACAATAAACAACAAAGGAAAAAGAAAAAAGAAAGAAAGAAAGAAGGAAAAGGGACACAATAAGCTACAAAGAAAGAAAGAAAGAAAGAGGAACACAATAAACTAGAAAGAGAGAAAGAAAGAAAGAAAGAAAGAAAGAAAGAAAAAAGATAAGGAAAACAATAAACTACAAAGAAAAAGAAAGAAAGAAAGAAAGAAAGAAAGAAAGAAAGAAAGAAAAGGAACACAATAAACTACAAAGAAAGAAAGAAAGAAAGAAAGAGAGAAAAGGAACACAAGAAACTACAAAGAATGAAAGAAGGAAGGAAAGAAAGAAAGAAAGAGAGAAAAAGAACACAAGAAACTACAAAGAAAGAAAGAAAGAGGAACACAATAAACTAGAAAGAAATAAAGAAAGAAGCAAAAGGAACACAATAAACTACAAGGAAAAAAAAGAAAGAAAGAAAGAAAGAAGAAAAAGAAATACAATAAAGTACAAAGAAAAAAAAGAAAGAAAGAAAAAAGGATTAGGGACACAATAAACTACAAAGAAAGAAAGAAAGAAAGAAAGAAAGAAAGAAAGAAAGAAAGAGGAACACAATAAACTAGAAAGAAAAAAGAAAGGAAGAAAGAAGGAAAAGCAACTCAATAAACAACAAAGAACAAAGAAAAAAGAAAGAAAGAAAGAAGCAAAAAGGACACAATAAGCTACAAAGAAAGAAAGAAAGAGGAACACAATAAACTAGAAAGAAAGAAAGAAAGAAAGAAAGAAAGAAAGAAGGAAAAGGAACACAATAAACTACAAAGAAAAAAGAAAGAAAGAAAGAAAGAAAGAAAGAAAGAAAAAAGAAAGAAAGAAGGAAAAGCAACACAATAAACTACAAAGAAAGGAAGAAAGAAAGAATGAAAGAAAGAATAGGAACACAATAAACTAGAAAGAAAGAAAGAAAGAAAGAAATGGAACACAGTAAACTAGAAAGAAAGAAAGAAAGAAAGAAAGAAAAAAGAAAGAAAGAAAAGAAAAAAGAAAGAAAGAAACTAAACTAAAAGAAAAAAAGAAAGAAAGAAAGAAAAAAAGAAAGAAAAGGAGAAGGAAAAGGAACACAATAAATTAAAAGAAAGAAATAAAGAAAGAAAGAGGAAAACAATAAAGTAGAAAGAAAGAAAGAAATTAAGACAGAAAGAAAGAAAAGGAAAGACAATAAACTACAAAAAAGAAAAAAGAAAAAAAAGAAAGAAAGAAAATAAACTAGAAAAAAAAAGAAAGAAAAACAAATAAACTAAGAAAAAAAAAAAAAAAAGAAAAGAAAGAAAAAGAAAGAAAGAAAGAAGGAAAAAATAAAGTACAAAAAAAGAAAAAAAAAAAAAAAAAAGAAAGAAAGAGAAACACAATAAACTAGAAAAAAAAGAAAAAAAAGAAAAAGAAAGACAGTAAACTAGAAAGAAAGAAAAAAAGAAAAAGAAAAAAAGAAACTATAAACTTGAAGAAAGAAAGAAAAAAAGAAAGAAAGAATGAAAAAAACAGAATAAACTAGAAAGAAAGAAAGAAAGAAAAGAAACGGAACCCACTTAACTAGAAAGTAAAATGATTCCAATTTTTTTCAAAAGGTCTACCATTATTACAATTTCAAGAGTTCTGTCCTAACTAGATACCCTACTGTGATGGCCATTGCCATTGTATTCAAGTTTATAAAAGGGAAAGTTGTAAACCCTCTCTCTTTCTCTCTCTCTCGCTCTCTCTTTTGGGATGTAGTAACAATAAGAACCTGGGACACTCCCCTGAGAGCCGACTACTTAATTTCAACCCAACCATGTGCATATCACACTTATAACATAAATCTTAACTTTCTTTCTTCCTTTTTTTGTGCTATTTGTATGCATATGTAAGTAATTTTTTCCTCCTCTTCTTTGGTGAGCTATGCTGCACTTAATGTAAAAAACATATGCAAAATTCCATGCGTTGAATTCGTTTGTTTTGGGGATGTTGAATTCAGTTACTTTGAACTCCTCCTGCTACAAACTGGTGACCAACAGCAACATCAACCAATACCATTTTATTCTTTTTATAACTATCTATTGTTGTATATATATATATATATATATATATATATATATATATATATATATATATATATTTTCAAAAACACGGTCAGGATATTGTGTCCATGTTCAAAAAAAATCAACACTTAATAATGTTAACTTTGAGCATGGACTATATATATATATATATATATATATATATATATATATATATATATATATATATTTGAAATTAAGTAGTCGGCTCTCAGGGGAGTGTCCCAGGTTCTTATTGTTACTACATCCCAAAAGAGAGAGAGAGAGGGTTTACAACTTTCCCTTTTATAAACTTGAATACAATGGCAATGGCCATCACAGTAGGGTATCTAGTTAGGACAGAACTCTTGAAATTGTAATAATGGTAGACCTTTTGAAAAAATTGGAATCATTTTACTTTCTAGTTAATTGGGTTCCGTTTCTTTCTTTCTTTCTTTCTTTCTAGTTTATTCTGTTCCTTTTCATTCTTTCTTTCTTTCCTAAACTTTCCAAACTGGTGACCAACAGCAACATCAACCAATACCATCTCAGTCTGTTTATAACTATCTATTGTAGTATATATATATATATATATATATATATATATATATATATATATATATATATATATATATATATTCATTTTTCAAAACACGGTCAAGATATTGTGTCCATGTTCAAAAAAAATCAACACTTAATAATGTTAACTTTGAGCATGGACACTATATATATATATATATATTGAAAAAAAGAGAAGCTGCAAACATTTTGTTCAAATGTGGATTTTTATTTTAAAATATATATCATACTCTATTTTCCATAATTCTGCTACACGAGCAAAGAGTAGATATTTCCATATATTATAACAATGAATTTTTTGCATGGTACTGATTCAAATGTCTTTCTTGGACTCGTGATAAGCATATATATATATATATATATATATATATATATATATATATATATATATATATATATGAAAAAATGACAATAGGAAAACTGGTAATTGCTGACGCGTTTCATCCAATGTGGACTTTATCAAAGCAAATGAAACGCGTCAGCAATTACCAGTTTTCCTATTGTCATTTTTATTCATAAATATTGTCTTCTACTGGTTAAATCAGAGAAATATTCATATATATATATATTGCATATAGTTCTCTTGTTAATATTTCGTTCTTTCACATGGTACAACATCATAGAACTGTATTATGAATTTACAATTTACGTCTGATATTTTGTGACTGTTATCGTCGCAAAGCAATCTTATCATTAACAATCTGATTAGGTACACAGACGTTCCTTTTAGATTTATTAATTTTCTCTGAAATCTAAATCTATGGAAACTATAGTGGCCACAAAGTGAGGGACCAGTTTATATATTGACTGTAATATAGAATTTTATCCTCCACTTTATATTCACTTTATAATTTCTTGTTTGTTTATCAAATTCTGATTAGGCATGAATCCAGCTCTTCTCCCCCCAGCTATGGGTTAATTAGTAAGATGTGCATATAAAGAAGAATGAGATTTACTTTTTGTCTGGCCCTTCTTCACATCACAATTGAGATGGAAGGAGACTAGATTTGGCACCCTGAGACATGCTTTTTTTTATGTTGACATTTTTAGTGTTCTTCCCCGAAAAAATCTGTTGTAATTAAAAAAGAACAGGCTTTGTTTTTTAATTGGTGCTCATACAATGACGGAGAAGGAAGGAGACTGTGTTTAGGACTAGATTTGGAATCCTAAGAGATTAGTATTCATTTTGGCATGCTTTGCGTGCTTTTATGATTAAATCTGCTTTAATTAAAACCAAATGAACAAAACAATAAGCGGTATTTACTGATTGACCATAGTATTAATGGCAAAAAGTTGGAAGAGGTGATAAGGAACAATACAATTTAAACAGGAAGATCCGCACTGGGTGGTTCATATTGGTGAACATGTGCAAAACTAAACTAAGAATTGTTAATAATGCAGGCAAGAGGATGTAAACTGGTCAAAATTACCAGGAGATGAAGAAGATGACAATAACACAGAATTATTATTGCTATATTGTTGTAAGGGAAGGTTATTGAATAGAATAATCATATGAAGGTTGGTAATGAATGATAATACTTAGGACAAGAACAACACATATAAGATTCAGCAGCGGCATGTAGAAGTTGTCAACTGCTAGAAGTGAGTCAAGTGAATTCCACAATGAATCCCCAACTGCAGAATATCTACCAAGTGCCCCATGCGGTCAGACGGGGCACAAGGCCAAATTTAATGTGGGGTATCTGAGCCTGTAGGCTCAGTCAAAAATTCCCCGTGTAAAATGGGGTCAGGTAGCTGTTTCCCAAGATGAGTCTCTGCTCTTAGGTATAGCCTTGTCTGGGCAAAGAGTGACCTCACAGCTGGAGACGAATCTCGAACTGCAGGCTATCTACCAACCACCCCATGTGGTCAGATGTGGCACAAGACTGAATATAATGTGGGGTATCAGAGCCCATAGGCTTGGCCAAAAATTCGCCATAGACCCCATATAAAACAGGGTCGGGTAGCTGTTTCCTGAGATGAGATTCTCCCCTTTGACCTAGCATCGTCTGGGGATCCTCTCTGCTCAGAGGCAGAGAGTTTGACCAGCACAGCTGGAGACAAATCTCCAACTGCAGACCAACATACAGTATTTACTACTGTATTTATGTGGATGGGGACATATTATAAAATAAAATAAGACATATCTCGGCTGATTTACAGGCAAATAAACTAACATACTCAAGAGCGAGAGCCGGATGTGAATGGGACAAAGCCCCGTCACAAAATGACCATTATCTTCGTTTACACATGTTCCTGACGCACGAGTTCTGGTCGAAAAATAAAATAATATTTAAAATGTTTCTATTTTTCGACCAATAAAAATGCTTCCCTCCTAATTATACTCGTATCGTTTTTCGAGCCTGTTAAACCATAAAAAAACGCCATAAAAGGGGTCACACGGAAGTACAAAGGCAGTCAACAGGTGGCCAGGGAAGAGACCTGTCATGGTCAGGCCGAGCGGTCAGCAGCAGCCAGCAGGAGGAGCACTACCCAACCTGTGAGAACTACTATGAGAGATCAACCCAGATCTTCAGCTGGCCTATGAACTATACCACAAGGAAGCTGTCCCAAACCCACACGTTCCTGTTGAAATAAATCACGTAAATCTATTTCTGCTGTTGTCGTATTTTTTTCTTGCAACCATACGGTTGTCTATAACACACATGTCCGTAGGTATGCTACAAGATGTATAAACTTGTGTATAAGACGAGAAATATGTGATGACAAAATTGTAAGCTTTTAGTTGAGGCCAATATTTTGTTGATTTTTACCAACTGGGTAAGACGATAAACTACATCTGACAGCAAGTCCTCTCATCAGGAGGTTTTGAGGAGTGTAGAACCACCTCTTAATTGCTGGTGGTCCCAGGTAGCACCTGTTAGGGTTCCAGCTATGAGCAAATAGTTAACCCCCAAATTTGGGGTCAAAACACTATGAAAGTGTAAAAATAGGTTTTAGTCCCTGTTATGAGGATGCATTTCTATAGTAAGGGATTCTACTGAGTCCTACTTGTTACTACAAAAAAGTTTTCATTCATGAAGTAGTTGTAAAATAGAGAAATTAGAAATAGAACGTTTGGAAGATTCTAGATCATTCTAGTATATTCGAGAAAAATCTAGATGATTCGAGAAACATCTAGAAATATGTTAATTGGGTGCTAGCCACTATAAAAATATTTTTTTTGGAAAAGGGTTAGGAGTTGGTGAAAAGAAATTTCTGCCAGTATCAACTCTGGCTTTTTTGATTCAAGGATTATTATATTATGGTGTTGGAGGGGAATGGATTCGTTGTTACTTGTTGCTTTTATCAGAAGGTAGGTAGTAGTAGCAGTCCTTCGGGACAGCCGCTAGTTTGGCCTAAAGGTTCAACAAGCAATCAATTTGAGGTCACCATACATAAACAAAATAGCATACGAAAGAGAAGGGTGTATCAAAACAATTTGTATTAAAATACAACATCAATGAATAGTACAATTTTTCTTGATTCACACGCACAAAAGTCCGTTATAAAAATGTTCATTCGTATAAGAGAAATTGGATTATTAAAGGAATATAAGAGTCACTTTGTTAATACTTAAGTTTAAGGCGTGCTGGTCACAGGAGATGAAAGGTGAGGTCAATGTGTCGGTAGGAGTCATTCGGTATCTCCGGTGGTGAAGGAAGGCTGGAGGCGTCGAGTTTGATGGTTGAGAAAAGCGTAGCGACATTCTCTGACGGTACTTCAAAGCTTTCTCTACACAGAAGTGAATTTGTCGCTCTATTTATTTGTGCCCATCGGCTCAGAGTCAGTCTGCTGAAGCAAACTGTTGGGTATGGCGCGGAGCCATTTTATTGGTGGAAATTGCTTATTCTTTTTTATTTCTTTTTTATTTTCCACCGGAAACGGTGGAGCCAGGTGCGTAAAGACCAGTATTGGTCATTTGCTATTTAGACCTCT